GAAGCATTTCCAGCATGAAGCAGTGAACCAATAGAGAGGTCTCTGGGGCTGGCCTCAATCCCAGCTACCTGAATGCCCTCCCCAGAAGAAAGGGGGTTACTACAGAGGACAGCACTGAAGCTACAGCTCAGGGAGAGGGGTGCATTTGCTCAGAGCACACAAGAGCAAAGTAAGAGGGAAGGAGAGAAAGACAGAGCGGAACACATCCTGACCCACCAAAACCCGAGGATGATATTCCTTCTCAGAGGAGCCAATGCACAAAGAGGACCATAGGGCCCGCCCCACCATGAGACATGATGTCCCTCACTGACCCATAGTGCTACAGGGGACAACTCTGGAGACACAGTGTGGGAATTGTGCCCAATCTGACCCCACCACACTGGAGCAAAACACCAAGGGCGTGCAACAGCGCAGCAAGGGAAGCAAAGCAATGAAGTCCCCAAGTAATCCCCCAAATAGACCAGGGGTAGGGCGTAGCACCTCACCAGATTCAACCGGAAAACACTCCTAAAGGTCAACAAACAGACCTGGAACGATTTATAGGCCCTTTTCTCATTTTTTTGTTGTTTTGTTTTTATGTTCGTTAATGTTTTTGCATGTCTATCTAGAGAAGATAGATGGGATAAACAATCCCAAGGAGAAAACAATGGGACCTACAGTTCCAGAGGGACACAGGAGAGGGGGAGGCAGGGGAAAGAAAGAGGGGAGCCAACAAACCCAGGGACAAGAGAACAATAAGTGATTTAAAATTGATGGCAAGGAGGGCATAGGATGCCTGTGGGGCTTGATCAAATGCAATGTAACCAAGAGGAATTAATGAAAGCCAAATGAGGGTCGAACATGAATGTGGGACAAGAGGAAAGTTAAAGGAAATAGAGGAGAGAACTAGGAGGCAAAGGACATTTATAGAGGTCTAAATATAGGCATGTACATATGTAAATATATTTATGTAACTGCCACATAAACCTTCCTCCAAACTTGTTGCCACATTCTTCATTTAGTTCAGCTTCCCTATAATTTTTTGCTCAGTATACAGACTGAGTAAATGAGAGGATACAACCTTGACACACATCTTTTCTGGTTTTAAACCATACAGTACTCCTTTTGTCTTTTAAAATGACTGCTTCTTGGTCCATGTCTGGGTTCTGCATGAGCACAATTAAATGTTCTGGAATTCCCATTCTTTTCAATGTCATCTATAGTTTGCTATGATCTACACCATTGAACGTCTTTGTGGGGCTGACAGAACCCACGTAAGCATCTTAATGGTGTTCTCTTCTTTAAGCCAAGGTATATCTAATGTAAGCAATTTTATCACTGATTCCTCTTCTGAATCTGGCTTGAATTTCTGTCAGCTCCCTGTTAATGTACAGCTCCAACCATTGTTGAATGATCTTGAACAAAATGTTACTTGTATGTGATATTGATGATCTCATTTGATAATTCTGCAGTGTGAAATATGGATATTTCACCAGGTAGCTGTCTTCCAAATTTCTTAGTGTTTCCAGTGCTTCACCATCTTGTTGAAACATTTCAATTGGTACTCTGTCAATTCCTGAAGCCTTGTTTGTTTGTTTTGTTTTTTGCTAATGCCTTCAGTGCAGATTGAAATACTTCCTTCAGTACCATTGATTCATGATCATATGATACTTCTTGGAACAGTTGATTGCAAACCAATTCTTTTTAGTACTGTGATTCTGTGTGTTCCTTCTATCTTCTTTTGATACTTCCTGCATCTGTCAATATTTTGCCTGTAGACTCCTTCAATATTGAAACTTCAGGCTTTAATTTTTTCTACAATTCTTTTTTATTATTATTAAAAGATCATTTTATTAGGGCTCTTACAACTCTTATAACAATCCATACATCAATTGTATCAAGCATATTTGTACATATGTTGCCATCATTCATTTCTAGACATTTACTTTCTATTGAGCCCTCTTCTCCCCCCTCCATGACCCCTTGATAAATTATAAATTATTATTTTCATATCTTACACCGACCTCTGTCTCCCTTCCCCCATGGTTTCTATTGTTTGTCCCCCTGGAGGGGGTGTGGTTGTGTGTCCATCATCAGGATAAGTTCCCCCTTCCTCTGCTCCTCTCCCTGCCCTTCCCCCTACACTTCTGGTATTGGTATTCCCATTCCTGTTCTTGGATTCCGGGTGTTGCAAGCTCTTATCTTTTATCTGTACCTGTGCACATGCTCCAGTCTAACTCACACTGAAAGGAAGTACTAGGGTAATGATAGTGGGGGTGAGGAAGCCTCAAGGAACCAGAGGAATATTGTGTGTTCATCAATTCTTTCAGGTTAAATTTTTCTAGATCTTTGCACATTTCACTATAATACTTTGTCTTGCTAGACCAGAGGATGTACACTGGTACAGATAGGAACTGGAAACACAGGGAATCCAGGGCGGATGATCCCTTCAGGACCAGTGGTGTGAGTGGTGATACTGGAAGGGTAGAGGGAGAGTGGGTTGGAAAGAGGGAACCGACTATAAGGAACTATATGTGACCCCCTCCCTGGGGTCGGACAACAGAAAAG